CAATCAGAAACCCGGATTCATGCCTTTGAGGAAGGTCCCGTTTGAACGCTCACATCGTTTTTTTTTTTCGTTTGGGGGAAAACTAAAACTGGTCGCAATTTTCGAATAAGAATGAGTCGGCAATTTTTAGTGGAGTCGAAAATTTGGAGGTGAATAAAACACCGAAACCCGGCAAATAAATAGGCGGTCAAATTTTTAGAGGGGTCGAAATTTTGGAGTTTTCACGGTGCTAATTATTCCATTTCAATGAAACTTAGTACAAAGATGCTCTAGGACAATGTACAAACCTAATTAGTTTGGGGTAAAAATCTGTTCATATTAATTCCCTAATAAGCATAATAATTCATAATTTTTTGGTTCTAATCACATTTCAATTAAACTTGGAGACATAGATTTTCTGTTACATTGCGCAGACCTCATTAGTTTTACACTCAAATCTGGTCATATTAATTTTCTGATTTGCATAATTAGTTTTCAGCTAAGTAATTTTGAATTATATTTAATGTGTCTCCAATACTCTCAGCACATGGGAGTTCTTTCTAAGCTTTCTTTGATTTAATGACTTGGTGAAACATTGTGCTTGCTGGTCTCGTCAAATCCTACCTTGGGTTGAACACCGTAAAGGGTTGACTAAACCCTGGGTTGTTGTGTCAAAGATTCAATAGCAAGGCTAAATCCACTGGAAGAGATTCACTGCAACTTTGAGGAAACCATTGATGAAATTCCTGTTTGAACACTGAATACAACTGTACTATTAATTTGGGGTCTGCCTGTTTGCAGTCGTATCTCTGACAGTCATTGACTGATCCCATTCAGACTTTATACACAGACAATACATCATGTCGTACAGATGTATTTATTTTTATTTGAAGATCAAAACAAAAATGGCCGACTGGTGGCCATTTTGAACAGAAAATTTGCTGTTTTTGAGTCTCAAATGTGTTAGCTGTTTCTCAGAGATGACTGCTACGATCTTGATCAAAGTTGGTATGATGATCATACATACTGGGTTACAGGTGCACATCATTGTGTGATTCAAACAAATGTTGTCGACTGTTGGTCATTTAAAAAAAAAAATATTTTACCCCTTTATTTCAAAAACACTTTAAAGATTTATTTAATCTTAGTACATAGATAGTATAAATCAAGATACATCAGCACCAATTTTTTTTTTCTGTGATTCAATTCAATTTGGCCGACCAACTGTCAGTTTTGATGAAAAAGTTTTAAATCACCATTGTTGCGTGTCAGAAGCTGTTTCAATGAAACTTTCTCTGAATTTATAAAACAATTTCCAAACAAAGTGCCACAATGAGACACTGGCGGCAACTACATATAAATTGCAAATGCACACCTACACATTTATAATTTTGGTTTCTGTTGCCCTGAAATAAACATTTGTAAAAACAAAATAAAAAAATGAATCATCTGAGTATTTGCTAGATTAGTGCACATCAAACAAAAATTTAATTTATGCGAGTGTGTTCATTATATATGCCAATGGATTATTAATTTTTTTTTTTAGCTCTGCTGTCAACTTAGGCAAGCGGAGCTGTGTGAGTGTCTGTATAAACTTTTAGTTTTTTAACTTCTTGAAAACTACTGGCTCAATTGCTTTGATACTTTGTATGTATGTAACTTAGCTGAACCTCTGTCAGATTTGTCATGTAATAGACATCATGTCTGATTGCTTTGATATTATATATTATACATACCATACAGGTGAACCTCTCTGATTGTTCATTTTGTAATGATTTATTCAATTCTCGAATTTTGATGAATATTTTTGTGATTTTTTTTGTAAGTGATATTTTTGACTTGTTAAAAACTGCAAATCAGATTGCTTTGATATTATACATGTAGGTACCTCAGGTGGACCTCTCTCAGATTTGTTCATTTCGTGATATCTTCAATTGAAATGTGCATTGCTAACAGTGGAGCCATGTCAGCTGAGAGGCTGCTCATTTTTGTGTGTGACCACAAGTGCTCATTTACATATGATGTGCAATGAATACAGGAGTTTGTGATTATAGCATGCAGATTGCAATAATAATTCTAACTGTGTAGGTTCTGTTTAGTACGAACATTCTAGAATTTTATTTTGGGTTTATTTTAAGGTCAGTCAGTGTCCTTCCATCTGAAAAATTGATATTATTGTCAAAATATTCCTGTAAAACCAATCATTAAGGTTGATCATGAGCATTTGACATAGAAAAAAGGGGGTGAAAAAATAATCACAATTTTTAAGTTTCAAAAAAGTCACAATTATTTTGATATCAAACTTTTCAGTGTTCCCCAGTGTGAAAAAAAGTGCCTAAAAACATACAAAACTGAAAATGTTTTGAACAATTTTCGTAATAATTATCGAAATGTCATACTTCTTGACAAACATTCGTACCCATCTTATATTTGCATTTCTTTGTGTAATGCGTTGTTTGAACTGTGCTTTGTGCTATAAAAGTAGTTTGGCGATCAGATGTTTTATGTGAACATCAAAATAAAAAAAAACAGCGAAATGCTGGGGAAATCCAATCATTTATTTCATTGGTAGCCAGCTACCTTCACGGTTGAGATTTTTAAATGAGCACTGTACTGGTACTTTCAACCAATTAAAAGCCTGCTTACAAATTGCAATCCACGTGGGGTGTAATGTGATGAGCTTGTCCTGGCAACCTGCTTGTTGACAATTAT